GGTAACCGGTTAATGAGACAAACTGCCTGCGGTTTCCTTTACATAGTGGAGTCTGTTTCCTTGTCTTAACATTCTTTGCTCATTCCTCTGGCTCTCGGTGTTTAAAGGAAATGAATCCATCATGAGATCTTAGTATTAATGTTTAAACAGAGATGTGTAAAACTTTAGACTTTGTTACTCCTGGGTTCTATCTATGTAAATCTGCATTTTAAATTTCTATCTCCCCTGCCCTCCATTAAACATACTAAGAGAGCTGTTCAGTAACTCTAACAGGTATGGAAAGCACATATGCGCACACGCCCGCGCACGTGTCTGCATGCGAAGGCTTGTGCGCATGTGTGTTTTGCATGCGTTTGGAGTATTCAATTGCATGCATTTATACGACTATTTTGGTGTATGATTGAATGGTAAAAGTGACTGGATGGGTGATTGGGAGAGTGTGTACGTGTGTGGAAGCTGCTTGTAGTGTTGTACATTTGTAGGAATGTTGCTTATTGGATTGCATGTCTGGACGTGGCTTCTTGTTGTGTTGCATTTCGGCTGTAGTGGTGAAATAGGGGCTTTAGTGGGGGGTAGTGGTTAGAGTGGGCTCATATGGGATGTAGTGTGGAATATGGGCTTTAGTGGGAAGATTATGGTATATTGGGTGGTAGGGGCCATGGTGAGGTGATTGTGCTATATTGGGGGATAGGAGCCATGGTGGGGAGGGTAGTGGCTATAGTAAAGATGATAGTAGTGGGGGAAAAGGGGCTATTGTGGGTTGGCTAGTGGTTATAGTGGAGTGACAGAGGGTCTAGTGGGGGCATATGGCTAATGTGGGAGTATAGGGACTATTGTGGGGTGGATAGTTGGTATAGTTCAGTGACAAATGCTGTAGTGGGTTAATAGGGGTTGTAGTGGGTTGACAGGGTTATCCTGAGGATGACAAGGCTATAGAGTGGTGACATGGGCTATAGAGGGGCTGTGGTGGGGTGACCGGGGCTGAATAAAAGTGTATTACCACAAGACTTACCTTGGGCCAGGGAGAGTGGTCCGATGAGAGATGCAGAACTAGGGTACCCAAATGGTCCAATTCACTGTATCATTCTGGCACCATTTTGGGTACCAGCTGCTGTCTATCTGACTGCTCTTATGCACCTAAGGCTGTGCATCATTTCGTACAGATGTGTTCTAATGCATGATGAGTGCAACATTATCCTCTCACATTTTAGTGGTTCAATTAGATTTCTATCCCGTGGGCTTTAATTCCATCCTTTACAACTGCCGAACAGTAGAGTTTCCCTATCATGGTTTCAGTTTACCAGTGAGTGCGTTATATAGTTTTTCTAAATTTCTAGTTCTTTGACTTGGCTTGTATTTGACTATCCAGGTCTCTTCTTCCCTCGACCTTGGTCTTTTGTCCTGACCTCAACCTCTGCTCTGCTGTCTACATTTCTCTATCTGTTCACAATTTTTTGTAATCTCACTGTCATCAGTGTGATAAATCCAGTCACTCCTAGAGTATATGCTCCTATCCTGATTTTCATGTTTCATATATTAGAAGGTTTGATTAAAGTTCTGCATATTGGGATCATTTGTAATCCTTGGGTGCCTACTTGCGCCACTACAATTATAATTCTACACTCATACATAATGACCTACGTTCCAGATTGTCTACTGTTCCATATGTGATGTCAGGAAGGAATTTGTCATGTTTACTTTAAAAAATACTGTAATGTTCTAAACATAAATTCAAATATTAAACTCTACAAAAATCTGACATTATGTAATATATTTGTTACGTCCGGTGCAAAAGAGGTTTTATCGTGAGAAAATATTTGCTGGAATGTGCATTTTTAAAAACATCTGTCACTGAGAGAATTAGGAAGTTCCACACCCCAGCTAAAGGGAGCATGAGACAAGCAGGAGATACAACCTATCCACTCGTGAAATTCTGGATAGTCATATTTTGGTGATGATCACAGCTGTCTAACATTGAACGTTAAAATTCACTGTACATTTTTGTGTTAACATTCACAAACATATTTTGATACTTTTCTATGACTATTTTGACATGATCTCTTCATTAAAAGAGGGCACATAACATGCATTAAGCTGGCAATCTTAAGCAATCACAATCACTCACATTAAACCATTTTTGCCTTATGGAATTCAGCTGGTGAAAAAACTTGATAAATCACTGAAAACACCTTTTTAACAAATTAACCAATACCTCAAAAATTTGCAAATGCTTTTGTGCAAAAACAGACACCACAAAGCTCCTTTGAGTTGATGTAGCACTTGAGGTATGTGGTGGGGCCTGAGAATTACAACAATATTTTGTTGTGAAACAGATAATACGACAAATACACATGTACATTTTACACACATTTCTCATTTGAATATGCTACTACCAGGAAAAGATAGTGAAATTTTTGGGTTGTGATTACGTTGAAATCACTAACTCAATTCCACCCAAATGTCCATCCTTGATTTTGGTCCAAGCCATACCTTGAGCCCATAACTAGCCTCTTGGTGGCTGAGCATCATGTAGTCCACAAGAGCAGCCCTTCACTTCCCTTCTCCTAAAGGAAAGGAGAGGATATGGAGAAAAATGTTGTCCACTCAATCCTTCTGCTCCCAGTCACACTTATAAGATCACCTGTCTCTCACAGATATAAAAAATTAAGGCCTCAATTAGGCTTCCGAAGACAGTTCCCATTCTCTCGGCTTCCTTCATTTTGCCAGTCCTTATATTTATCATTCCCCAGAGCAATGTATTTTGAAAATCTCCACTCTCCAAGCAAGGAATAAAGAAAATCTTGAATGTGCAAATATAAAATAAACCTCTATTTAGGATTGCATCAGAAACTTTGTCATCAGCATCTTCCTTTGTGTCCATGTTAAAACCTCAAAATGGCAGCTATTACGTGTTCACAGGTGACAAAACCAGTTGCACTAAACAGTGATTGAAGACTGGTGAGATATTGAAAGTGGTTACGTGCCAGAAAGTGTCATAAGCATAGCTCTAATTTAATACCATACCAAAACCAGTTTTTAAAAAAATATTTAAAATTTAACATATGACACATGGCAGGACCACTTGAGTGTTTGCGACAAGGGATTGTTTTTATGGTGTTTAAATGGTATGAAGAACTAGCCATTGACAAACTTTGCTAAATTTAGCAAAATAGGAGGCCCACCACCAATCTAGCACACAAGTACACAGTCTAAGTAAAAGATTCACGTTCATTGTACCAAATTGTACCATGTTTTATTCGGAAAAAACGCGCTCTGCACGCAACCACTAAAACTCTTTCCATCTTCCTAAACCCTAGTAAAGAACGGCTATAAAAATAATTCTACGTATTCTAATAAATAGACGATTGTTAGCAGAATATAAGACTCCTTCAACAGGTGATGGAAAATGCTCTTTGCCTGCCATGTATTTGGGTAAATTTACATAGGACGAAGAAATGTGACTTCCTGCAGTTAAGAATGGAAAAAGCAACCGCCATGTGTGTTGGATAATGTTTTGGTTATATGTGCTTATGTGTGCAGTGTTGTGTTTCTGTTTTCAGTTAGGTCTGTTTTCAGTGTCCCCTTGTAAGCTCACTTGCTGTACCTAAGGTCCTTATCCTGTCAGCACTTTTCTGCATCCTTGTAACGGTCTCTGACACCAGAACCTTCACTGTTCCTTCCCTTTATGGCTTCTGAGACTGCTGGTAGTTTCCATAGTTTTACTTTGTTAAAGGCACACTCCAAATCCCAAAAGGCTGAAGCAAGCCGTAGTGCTTTATTGTTTAACCAAGTTCCCACTGTCTTACTTTATAAAAATGCTGATTTCCTTAAACCCAGCTTATTCTTAAAGGAATACTCCAAGTCCCATAACTTCTACAGTCCACTGGAATGGTTATAGTGGCAGGAGTTTCCTGGGGCCCTCTCAGAGTGGAGGAAACTGGGTGCCTATGACCACATCCTGTAAGGAGCATATGTTGGCTCTACTGAGATAAGTCCTGCTGTCTTCTCATTGGCTGAGAGCATTATCTGTGTGCTCTCCTGCAGCAGATAGCTTGTCACTTCATTACAATTCTTTACATTTCCTACTCTTGGACTACTTACTATTGGAATGGGCCAGGGCACTTCTACAGCGGCTGTAGTATTTATTGAGTTTGTAGTGTCTCTTTAATGACTAGTAGTTAATCTTACTATCTCTTTTCTTTGTCAGTACTGATCTCCCCATACAAAGGTAAAAAGATTACCCGACCATTACAGCATCTTGGACTTATTGTAACAAAATCTCAACTCACGAGAAGCCTTCACATATCTTTTTTATTTTTTTTATTTCGATAAAACATCTATACCTGCTGACGTGTTAATATCGAGATATGTCTATAGCTTGCTGTAAGAGGAGCCCTACAGCCACAGATGTGACAGATATGATAATTGGTCAGCGTGCTGACACATCATGAATTTGGCATCTCTGGTACACAATGTTTTAAAATATTTGGTGCTCATTGAAGAGACAGGTTAAAAATTGACAGAAACACAATTGAAGAGTCTGTGATGCCATTGAGGATTATAAAATCCTATAGAAATGGGACCCTAGCGAGTCATCACTGCACTGCGTAAAGAGACAAATTGATTTGGGTGTGAACGTTTTTTTCAAAGTCAAAAAAATAAAATAAAAAAAAGGATATTTTATAGCAGAATTTTTGAGTATGAAAGCAGAGACCGAGCAATTAGCCCAATAGTCACGTCACGCATTTGAGTCAAATCTAAGCCTAGAAATTTTGTTGTTAATGTATGTTGAGACTTGTACATACAATGGGTTGGATTTAAAACACTTTTCGAGCAATTCTAGAGCAAAGGGTTACATCTGGATGATGCCATTGCTTTTCTGTGTTGATTTCTAAATTTACCAGTGTTCCCGCATATTGGTGATGTTTTGGTAAATATGAATATATAATCATTTCTGCCATTGTAAAACCATAAATATCCTTTAAACCTGCATTCTTCCTGTTGGTGTAAGGTGTTATGGTATCTGGAAGAACTGACCTGTGCCAGCCAAAGAAGGGTTGAAAACTGGTTAAATTAGTTGGTCTGTCTGACGGAGGTGTGAATTGCCATTCTAGGATTCAGCTGGATCTACATGCTACATACGACCCCAGTTCACCATAAAATAGACAGATCTTCAAATATTCAATTCTCTGATCCTTTCACTGCGTGGATCTAAATACGAACAGAAATAAAAGTAAACTTCTCCAAATGGGGCTAAAATTATTTCTTCAGGAGTTTCGAAAAGTCATTTGTTGGTTGACTTGAAAGGCTGATGTATAGTATGTATAGTTCTTATTTTGCATCATCCAGTGATTCTACAGTGTCTCCATTTCTTCATCTCTTCCTCTTGCTACATATTTCTAATAATGTTCACTCAATGTTCATGGGCATATTCCACAAAGTGCAGAATTGGGCCAAAGACCGACATTCCCCAGTACACATGGAGATTAACAGAGATGGTCTGGGCACTCAAGGGTGACTCATAAGACATTTTTAATGAAGATCGGTGCATATTACAAGCAGCAACGTTTTTACCTCCAAAGTAAGTCTTTATCAAGCTTGATAAAGTCTTCTCTAAATGCCTGGACCATCTCTGTTATTTTACAGTTCCTTCTCTTATCTCTCTCCTTCCTTCCCTCCTGAAACTTGTAATTAAATGTTTCTCTTCTGTCTTTAGCTAGATCACCGCCTGCTTCTTGAAACTAATTTTATCCAATGCAGACCTTGTCTTCTTTCTTTCGAACCTAAATCCTCTTGATTTTCTTCCTTCGGGTAAATGATACAATTCAATCCGACCATGCAAGCTCATCGGATTGGTGTCATTTTCCACCCCATCTTTTTTCACACCTCATCAGCCTCCAAATCCTGTACAATTAATTTAAAAAAAAAAACAACCATCACACTTATATTTTCCACTTTCTACTGCAAAATGCTACACACTCATCATTGGTCTCCCTCAAGCCTAAATTTATTCTCTAAGATCCATAAAGAACTCCTCTGCAAGGTTTATCTTCCAAACCTTGCACTTCTCACACCTCTCACCCCTTTCCTATCTGTACACTGACTTATTGCACCATGTGTCCTAATGTGTTTTACACCCCACCTCCTATAGACTGTAAGCTCGTTTGAGCAGGGTCCTCTTCAACCTATCGTTTCGGTAAGTTTTATTGTAATTGTCCCATTTATACTTAAATCCCCCCTCTCATAATATTGTAAAGCGCTACGGAATCTGTTGGCGCTATATAGATGGCAATAATAATAATAATTGGATCACATTTTAAATCCTATCACCTACAAAGTTTTCAATAACACTTCAAATTATGATTAACAAAATAACTATTAAAATATATATACAGAATATTATTGTAGAATAAAGTAAAGAATTGTAATGAAGTGACAAGCTATATGCAGTTTAAGTTTTAAATATAACCTGAAGTTTGGAAAATTCTTAGCCGCCCACTCTCGGGAACAAGATATCCAAGTGAATAAAACCACGTCCCTAAGGGGTGATTATAGCAATTATACGAATCACAAAAGACTGTTATTTTTTCCGTGGAACCTGTGGAGGCTTTGTCTGCTGTTGTTGTGTTTTAAGCTTTACCCTTAGGCCTTCTGATAACGATAAAACCTTTCCCAGTTTCCACCCTTAGACCTCTGTTTAACTCTTACAGATCTGAGAGGGTGAAACACATGCCCTTTAGAGCTTAGAAATACAGATTACGGAAATACGCAGGAGCTAAACTGACTTTTTTTTTTTGAGGAAGCAAGTATGACATAGAACCGTAGAATTCTTTATGAAAGACTCTGTTATTCATCAATAGTACTCTGTTTAAGAGTCATTACATGTGACATCACCAATGTGATTAACTGTCTCTTTACTGTTTGATGAGTCAGAGCTGGTGACCGACAGAGGAAGTAATGCAGTGATAAGGTGGCTTTTCCAAGCAGACTGCATTATGTCACAGGCACTGGTTTCTGTAGAAAATACTCTTCTATGAAGAAGTTCAAAACGTAGAACAATCATCATGAAAACCAAAGGAATATTCCTACTAAAAGCCCCCATTATTGATTTGTACACTGTGGTCCTCCCACATTTGGAAGATTATGTGAATACAGAACACCTGTGTTCCGGGGGATTATCTAGTAAATTTTATTGCCGCAAATAGACAAAGTTTATTGTTATTATTTTTATTTTTTTAACTTTTTCCCCCCAGTATTGGGTGACTTTTGTTCCTCCTGTTTTATTTCTTTAAATGGTTACACCAACCACTATGACCACTTCAGTGATTTCAAGTGGTCATGGTGCTTGGAATCTATATGTGCAGCATTACAGTTTAAAATGGTGCGCATACAGACATATAGCCAACATCAACATCATTAGTCAACCCAACCTAGAGCAGGATTAACCATATGTTGACCCTAGGCATCTGCCTAGGGATCATGGGCTAAATACAGGCCTCGGAACCATGGATTTACTTGGCACCATCCATATATAAGGAATGAAGGGGGCCTAAACTGGAAACATGCCTAGGGCCTTGTTGGATCTTAATCCTTCTCTGGCTAAAGCGTTCTGGGTTGGCTAATGTGAATTCTGTGCATATTTGGCATCTGTCATCCACATGCTGCCAACAGACGAGCAATGTGAGGGGTGACAGGGGACCGAGTAAGCAGGTAACAGGGGACTGAGTGAGGGGGTGACAGGGGACTGAGTGAGGGGTGATAGGTGGCTGAGTAAGGGGGTTACAGGGGACTGAGTGAGGGGTAATAGGGGCTAAGTAAGGGGGTGATAGGGGACTGAGTGAGGGGGTGACAGGAGACTGAGTGAGGTGGTGATGGGACTGAGTAAGGGGGTGACAGTGGACTGAGTGAGGGTGATGGGGGCTGAGTAAAGGGGTGACAGGGGACTGAGTGAGGGGTAATAGGGGCTAAGTAAGGGGGTGATAGGGGACTGAGTGAGGGGGTGACAGGAGACTGAGTGAGGTGGTGATGTGACTGAGTAAGGCCCTATAAACACGCACACATACTTTACATCCCAGAAAAACACACACATTCAGCTCAAAGCCACAAGTAATATACCACAAGCAGTCCCCTTTACACACTACCATACAACCAGTCTCCTCTACACACATGCAATCCCACAAACAACCTGCAAACACATACAACACTACCGGGAGCATTCCCACACTTGCACGACACACTTTAACAGCCCTATTCCACTTTTGTTCTCTGGTATCTCACGATTGGGGAATGCGATAGACAAGTCACTATTCTCTTGCCTTGTACAGAGAATAAATAAGAATAAATAAACACATTTGGGGGGAGGGGGGGAGGGGGCGTGCGTATCAGCTGTGCTGAAACCATGATACCATTTGACATCTGGAGACATGGAAACTGAGATGGATGTTTATGTATTGTGGGGACCCCAAGCGACGGTTAGCATTGGCCACTTGGTTTACATTTAGCTTGTGTATAAAAAAAAAAACGGCTACTCAGGGAAAGAAGGGGCAGCAAAATGCAGCATTAGTCCAAATGGTCTCACTGGAACCCCTCGTACGGACCGTTTTCATGTCCTCTCTTCACACTTCCTTTACCACCTCTTACTTAGAGAGCTTTTAGAAGGCAGATTTGTTTCCATGGAATACCTGCGGGACTTCAGTCTGTCAGACTTTCCTCCACTTTGCTGATGTCTTTAGGAAAGAGAATTAGATTAGCGGGTCATTCTTCTCCCGAGCACCGTATCAGCTCACACCACTTACATTTCCACAGTCTATATCACCATCTCTTATTAATACGCTACAGTTACCGTGCACATCTCTTAATTTAGTACATTTGTTGTTGGATAGCAATAACATCCCGAACAATCCACCTTTCCACCTGGATACATTGTACTTTATAACCAGATGGTAATTTCTTTAAGCAGAGCCTCCATTACCTCTTGATTCTGTAAACCGTAACATCTCTGCAGGTTATACTGGTATTCAATTTATAATAATAAAAATATAAAAATAATAAAAATATTCCTGTAGAATGTATGGGGAAAAAAAATCTTGTTGATGGAAAAGTCATGCAAGGGTTAATTCCTTGTCAAGAGACAACTGAGTGCTTCTTCTGTAAAATCAGAAAAGGATCTAATGACCTCACACAATATATCAATAGCCACCAATTCTAATCACGTCTTGTGGGACGAGAAAGGTCCCCATACAGGATTTCCTGGAAGTTACTGCTCTCGTATTCTTGGAATCAGTGGTAGGAGTGTTGTATTTCCCATTGCTGGAGCTTGACAATTCAACTCGATTACCAGTACCTTAGCTAGATAACGTGTGGACGGAGACCAACCCCACCGACAATCAGACAGTCTCGGGGGAGCGTTGATATTTAGTCTTCACCAGTCTGTGACATGCTAACTTCCTGCCATTCAATATACAGATAAATATTCTACATCTTTATCCGATATTATTAAGAAATGCACACTATGTGGCTTCTTTAGAAAAATATTAAACTTTTCTATAGTTTACTGATGTCTGCCGCGACCTATGCATTTTTGTTTATAGGTATCCCTGTTAAAATAAGCAATTTGGTCGCAATAATGTTAAATCATTTCTTTTCCGAAGTGCATTATTGTAGAATGTTTTAGAATTATGGCGCCACCTGCTGGTAATTTTTCACCAATACCTATTCGTAGACATTTCATTCGGTGTGGAAAGTTACAGTACGTACCACAAATAAAGGACGTAGTGATTTAACTAGAATATACCATAAATCAGGTTCTCGATAGCCTCTTGTTTCTTTTTAACACTTGTAGTAGTTGGCTTAGTTTTTTTCTGTAACATCCCCACATTACAATTGTAAAGAACTGTGAAATATATTGGTGATCTGTAAATTCCAATAATAATAATATAAATCCAAAGTTGTATTAGTAAATGAAATAAAATCAAAGCCCATGCAGTATCTGTGATGTCATTTATATATTAAGTTTTCCATTCGGCTAATTTATTGGAAAGACTTAGAGACCACGCAAAAAGACAAAACAAGCGTACTGATACAATGAGTACTATAATACAATATGCAGAGCGGCTGTGAACATTAGGGAAATTTAATCCTGATCAAATAGAAAATGAAGTGTGCAAAAGTGCATGTATAAACATTAAAAAGAAAGGAAACAAACTGCCGTATACAGATAAATTATATATAATATCCAAGATGCACTGGTGCTTTATTGGTGTGAATTGTGTTTTATTAATATTATTTA